GTTCTAGTCCTTTGACTTTAATGATGATTATCACTTGAAAGATAATATAAATATAAATGCCCATGAACTTTATATTACAGCTGTCATTTCTTTGTAGCAAGTATTTCTAAGGAAAAGACCTCTGCCAATGTGCAGTAGTGCCCTTTAGCATGTGTTTAAATGAAGTATTAAATTGATGGAAACCTTCTTCAGCCATGAACTTTGTAGAAACAGGAATGCATTTCTCTTGGGTTATAAATCAAAGAACTTCAAAGGAGATGCTGCCATAGCATCCATCTGTGGCAATGCACTTTTTTTTAATATAATAGTTTATTTTTACATCATTTTGTGCATTTTTCCATCTCAGTTGTAATCCCCATGGGCTTCCCATCACCACATCAACCATGTGCCATCACCATAGTCCAGTGCATTTACCCCCACCCCCATTTTTTATCATTCCTCACTCCACCTCTGTAAAATGTCTCTGTTCATTTGTTTATTATTATTATTTCCACCCTCTTGTCCTTTATACTACTGCTATGAGTGAAGCCATCTGGTATTTTCTTTTTCTTTCTGGTTTATTTCACTAAGCATGACCCCTCCAGCTCCATCCATGTTGCTGCAAAAGGCATGTGTTTATCTTTTTTGGTTGCTAAGTAATATACCATTGTGCTTATGTACTACATCTTTTTTTTTTTTTAAAGATTTATTTATTTGTACATACAGAACTGGGGTACAGGCCAGAGGCTCAGGGGCGGTGAGAGGCTTCACCAGAGACAGAGTGGGGAACAGAACAGGCAGATCGACGAAGTACACTGCTGAGGGGAGCAGCGGGCGGGTCAGGAGAGGTCTGCCACACCATGTGGTCTCCTCCCGGGCAGGCGGGAATCGAACTCATGTGGAAGTGGCTTTAGATTCTCAGTGCAGTGCTCTAACCTGCTGCGCCACCAGGGAGGGCCATACTACATCTTTTTAATCCAGTCATCTACTTTTGGGCATTTGTGTTCACTCTATGTCTTTTATATTGTAAATCAAGCAGCCATAAACATGGGGGTGCAGGTGTCTTTTTGAATCAGTGTTTTTGTGTCTTTTGGGTAGATACCTCAAGGTTGGATTGCTGGGTCATATGGAAGCTCCATTTTAAGCAGTTTGAGACACCTCCAAACAGTCTTCCATAGTGGTTGTACTAGTTTGCATTCCCACCAACAGTGCAGGAGAGTTCCTTTTATTCCACCTACTTGCCAACATTTGTTATTGCTAGGTTTTTTGTTTTTTTTTGTTTGTTTGTTTGTTTTTTAATTTTTTAAAAAAGATTCATTCATACAGAACTGGGGTACAAGCCAGAGGTGCAGGGGCGGTGAGAGGCTTCACCAGAGACAAAGTGGGGAGCAGAACAGGCAGATCGACAAAGTACACTGCTAGGGGAGCAGTGGGCAGGCCAGGAGAGGTCTGCCACGCCATGTGGATCACCTCCAGAGCCGGGGATCAAACCTGCACTGAAGCAGCTATGACCAACTTGCAGTGCTGCATCCTAACCCGTTGCGCCACCAGGGAGAGCCCCGTTGCGCTACCAGGGAGAGCCCGCTAATTGTTTGAAGATATGCCATTCTCAAGGGTGTGAGGTGGTATCTCATTGTGGTTTTAATTTTCACCTCCCTTATTACAAGTGTTGTTGAACATTTTTTCATATGCTTGTTGGCCATCTGCATTTCCTCTTTGGTGAAGTGTCTTTTTAGTGTAGCTTTTTTTCTTTAGGCATTTAAAAATTTCTTTTGGATTTCCTCATCAACCCAGTACTAATTTAGTCATGTGTTGTTAAATACCCTAAGTAACACATAGTCAAAGAAGAAATATTAGAAATTAGAACACATACTGAATTAAATTAAAATAAAAATACAACTTATGAAAACTTGTGAGACACAGAATACTACTTAGAGGGAAATTTATTGCACTAAATGCATATATTAGGAAAGAAAAATTAAATCTTTTGGCTTAATTTACAAATTGCTTAAATTTATATTTATAGTGCTATTCTTATGATAAGTGCAACATGCTGTGAACAGTTTATAATGGAAGGAAAACTGGAGGTGGAATAGTATATGGAGACATATAGTAAAACAAGTAATTTATTTCATCATATAGTTTACAAATATTTACTGAATTTGTACTGTATAATTAGGATGCTATCATGTTTAATTCAGTGCTCTCTTTGGAGCTCCAGAATTCTCATTGTGTCCCACTGGTAGAAGGGGCCAGGGTACTCTGTACGTTTGTTTTGTAAGATCATTCATGAAGTTTCCTCCCTTTGATCTAAGTACCTCCCCAAAACACCACTTCCTTTTGATCTAAGTACACCACCTCCTGATTCCAACACCTTGGGGGTTAGGACTTGAACATATGTTTTGGGAAGATACAGTCAGGCTATAATAATAAAAAGGTGGTTCTTGGAGAGAAACTTGAAGATTGCGCATGGGCATGTGGGATAGAGGCTTTCAGGTAGGGGGATGGTTTATATAAAATCCTTGAGACTGAAGTGGGCTTTGTGAATTTGAGTGCCAGTAAGAAGTCCAGTGTCTGAAGTGAAACAAATTAATAAATAGGTGGAAGTCAGAAAGAAGGTGGGAGGAAAATACAGGTCCCTGCCAATCATGTTGATTGGAATTGTTACAGTGCAACGAGAGGGGCACCACTGAACCCCTAAACCTGCCTGCTCTAAATAGGTTCTACCATCCACCACATCAAGACAAAACATATAAGACCTTTAATGGAAAGGAACTTTAATACAATGAGTGTGCAATACAGAGAAGACAAAGAATATAGTTTCTAAATCAGACACCCAAAGTTACCCACCCCCTCATGGGTAAAAGTCTACCCAAAAGGGATTGGCCCAAAGCAAGGCCTGAAAACCTACCACAAGCCTAAAGCACCTTCTGGCAGGGACCATGGAAAAGGGTCAGAAATGGCCAGACAACTCTGGGAGGAAGAAAGCAAAATCAAATCAAGATAAACACTGCTGTAGTTAACCTCCTCACAGATCTCTCACCCATATCTGTCTCAACCAGTCCAGGACCAAGAAGCAAGTGGTTTTTTAATGTCTCTCTGCTCCATGTGGCTCTCTCAGATCTCTTTCTGGCTCTCTATCCCACTTCTTCATCCTCAGTCTCCTCTCCAGATTCCTCTCTTCTCTGCTTAGCTCCATCCTCCTCCTGGGTGGTCCAGGGAGCCTGGAACTCCTGTTACAGAATGGGTAATCACTGAGGGTTTATAGCAAAAGAGGTTCATTTTATTGCTGTTAAAAGATCACTTTGGGCCCTCCCTGGTGGCACAGTGGGTTAGGACACAGCACTGCAAGCTAGCCACAGCTGCTTCAGTGCAAGTTCCACCCCAGCCCAGGAGGTGATCTACATGGGGTGCAGCAGACCTCTCCTGACCCACCCCCTGGTCCCCTCAGCAGTGTACTGTCACTGACCTGCCTGTTCTGCTCCCCGCCCTGTCTTTAGTGAAGCCTCTTGCCACCCCTGCACCTCTGGCCTGTACCCCACTTTTGTATGAAAAAAAAAATCTTGAAAGATCACTTTGATTGCTATGTGGAGCATAATTGATGGGTGAGGAGAATGCATAGGCAGAGGCAGGGAGACTAGTTGGAAGGCTTGATCTAAAAAGATTTAGTCGTCCCCAAAAAAAAAAAAAAAAGATTTAGTCGTAACATATCAGGGTAGAAATGGGTTAGATTTTGGATAAAATTTGAAAAGACTGCTGAAAGGACTAGATTGTATGTAAGATAGATGAAAAAGATGGCAAGTATACTTACTAAGTTCATGGACAGTAACACTGAGTTGCAAGTTACTTTAGTTGGAGATTATGAAACAAGAGTAGTTTCTCCCTCTCCCTCCAAAATTTTAAAATTAAATTGCACATGACTGGTAGAAAATCCAGTGGAGATGTTGAAAAGTATTAATTTGCAGACAACTACTAGCAGCTACTTTCATACTGCCATCTTGGAAGGAAGGCTCTGTTATTCATAAAGGGACGGATATAACTATTGTAACAAAATCTTAATACTTAAAAATTTCAGTTTTTAAAAAAATGTAATATTTTTATTTTTGTTAAGTTGCATACAGGATGGCCTGAAAAATGTAAAATATTTACTTATTGGTTCTTTACTGTATACTGACTGTGAGTGTAGACGAAACAACACGAAACACTGGTTATTTAACACGGGACACTGGTTATTTTTAAAACTGGGTTTCAATTATACTAGCTTACTTTTGTTTGTATTCGTCAGTTTTCACAATAAAAGGTTTTTTAAATGTTCAGTTTTACCAAAGTTGATTAGTCTTAGTCACCCTCTTTCCCCCTTAAAATCCTCCTCTGAACATTTTCCGCTACTGGTGAAAGAAGTGGCATTCCCGTTCTTCACCAACTCCTTCTTTTCCCATGAAAGCAAAACCTTAAGTCTTTAGTAGTGGTGACATAACTTGGGACGCGCGGCGACGACGGGGACAATACGATTAGGAAAAATTATCTTGTTTGGGAAGTGGGGGGGGGCAGTTTCAGTTCCTATTTTACTGTCTACTCCTAGGCCCAGTGAGCCCCCTTTTCACAAGAAATCAAAACGTAATCTCATCCAGTTATCACCGTCGGGGTCTCCTCCCTCTTATGCGTCCCGGAAATGACGCCATCGGCCGAATGCCCTTCAGGGGCAGGCGTAGACGTCAGTACGTCCGTCCTTCTCCACGTCCAGCCAGTGTGGTGCGAGTGACCCAAGGGCCCGGACTGGCGCCAGCCCTGGGGTCTTCAGGGGCCAGGACGACTGCGACTGCGCAGGTATGCTGGGGCGGGGCATCAGGTAACCCTGCCCCTGCCTGTGCGCACGACCAATGAGCAGCGGCTGCCCCTGAGCCAGGTAAATCCTTAGAGGCTGGCGTGATTAGCCCTAAGGACTGCCCCGCCTTTGGCTCCTCCCGGCACCCGCCGCCCCGCCTTGCGCCGCCGCCGCCCCGCCCCCTTCGGGCCCGCCTGTAGGACTGCGGGGTAATACCGGGCTTCGCTCCAGGAACCCCGCGAAGGAAGCAAGTTTGACGTCGACCCAGCGGTGGCGGCGCAGCCCCCGGCGTGAGCGCGGTGATGGGGGGCGGGCAGTAGGGGAGAAGCAGCCGCGTGGCAGAAATGGGAAGGCCTCGGTGTTTGGTGATAAACGCGCTGTGAGTGGGGGGCAGTTGTGTGGGGCGAGGTTGATTCGGGTGTGTCCTGTGCTGCTGGGAGGGCGTGAGTCGCAGGTGGGAAGACCTCGAGCTCACTTTACCTCATTTTCTAAAGGGGCATTCTTTCAGTTTTTTTTTTTTTTTTTTAAGTTTATCTGGGATGCGAGGAAATTTAAAGATCGCCCCCTCCCCACCCCAAATTGGAAGCTTCCTCGGGGTCTTTTCCTTGCTGGTGCGAGCGCTCCTTTCTTCCTGTTGGGAGAGGTGTAGAGTCCAGGTGGGCAAGTCGACTTTCACTTTCTGAGGATTGTTAAAACAAACAAATCAGGAATTCCTCCTCCGCCCCACGCCCTGCCCTTCAACACAGCAACGTTCTCAACAACTTTTAATTAAGAGATAGACTAGAAAATTCTGAGGCATTCTATGTCTTTGAAATATTTAAGTGGTAAATGTGCTTTTTTACTTCTGTAGGAAATACACGAGGGGGGACAGTTTCTTGCATCAACATTGGATGCATTATAGATACTCTTTTTCATGAGTCTGCCCGAAAGACTGATTTGAGAAATACTGTTAATATCAGTAGCGGTGACGTTTGTGAAATCTAATCAATGAATGTAAAACCTTGGTCAGTTTGGAGAAAGTGAAGTAGATAAGCCTTTAGTTCTGATAAATTGAGATTTTTTAAAATATGTTTTTCCGCCAAGCAAACCTTTGCGTGTTTATTTCTTCTCACAGATGTATTTAAATGCCCAACTACCACTGATGAAGATATTTTGGAGTAACTGCTGAAACCGAATTTTATTGATCAGAAGACGATCCCTCTGTTTCGCTTCTTTTGTTTTCCCTACTGCTTTGAGCTTTATTGTTGTAATGGCTGGAAAACGTGGAAAATAAAAACATGCTGTAGTCGTGAACACTTTTTTTTTTTTGAGGAAAAATTAAAGTGCCACAGTGAAAGCCAGAATGGCATCCAGAGAGAGACTCTTTGAACTTTGGATGCTATATTGTACAAAGGTAACTGCTTTTCTTTTTATTTCTAATTTTTAAAAGTGTTATAAAATTTTGTGACTGGTTTTATCATTTTATTTAATGGTTAGTGATGTATTTATATTAATTACCCAAAAGTTTAAAACATGGGATTTTCTATCTTCTACCCTTTCAGGTTTGAACACATATACAATATTAGCATAGTTAAAAAACGTAGGATGTTGTTTTTATTTTCTGTTTCTCTTCAGTGATCTCCAAATTATATAAGTATAATTAAGACTATAAGAGAAAAAGAAAATCTTTCCATTTTTGTGTTTTCTCCTTTCCCCAAGTGGGAGTAGGGTAGAGAACGATATTAAGCATTTTTCTCATGATGAGCTTTTTAAAAGTTATATGAAACATTGATTTTATGTGAAGGTTATTGATTTGAGGTGGTTACTGTAAGCCTGCCACTATGTTAGTATCTTATGACTATTGTCTCATTTAATCCTCATGACAGTCTGGTGAGGTTGGTGTTGTGATTATCCCCTTTAACTGGTATGAAACTGGTAAGTTGTTAAAGAGGCTGGTGGGGAGCAGAGCTGAGCCCAGAACTCAGCACCACTGCCTGATGGAATTCTATATAATTATCCATTATCTTAACTATTTGGGTTTGTCATTCAAGTACTTTCCTTTTTTTCTTTCTGTGAATTTTTGTATGTTAGCTTTATTTTGGTTATGGAGGGAACAGGTACTACTTTAAAACTTGTTTTTGTCTTTTTTTTTTTTTAAGTGGGGAGCTTCATTACCACTTTTGAAGATTCTGGCAAGGGTCAGAGAAACATCTCTAATCTACTAAAGTTACTTTGGCTTGTGTGGTGAAGTTCTCAAGTTTCAACTTCTGTTTCTGCATTATCCCTTCAGGCTTCTTTTTTATTCTTTTAGCTCTTTAAAAAACAAGTTATTCTTTAACAAGAGATCGCAGTTGTCTGTAATACTAATAGTTGTCTATAATACTTTGAATTTCTGGTTTGATATTTCTTATAGTTACTGTATGACATGTACTTTGAAATACTTAAAGTGAATTTTTAAAATAACTTTCAGTCTTCATGTAATTTAATGCCAGAAATATCTTTTTAAAAATAGACTACACTTCCCAATAAAAAAGGAATCCAATTCACTGAACACTTGAAAATAGCTATTAACACATATCAACTAAAAATTAATATGCATTTTAATATGAATGCCCAGTAGCTTGAAAATGGTTTACTTAAAGGTACATACAACTTACTTAGATTTTTCAATTTTCACATAAATAAAAGATAAGTGGGGTTACATTGTCTTTATTAATTAGTTATGTTGTTTCTAGGTCGATTTCATGTTTTATTTAAGTGACTGCTTATTGAAGGAAAGTAGTTCATTGGCATACACAGGTTTTTTTTTTTTTCTTTATTGAAATATTGGTTTACAACACTGTATATGAGTTATGTATATGACACCTTCTCACATGTCTTATCTACCACGCCTCCCTTAAAAGCACATTTCCTTGTGCCTCTTCTTACCTTGGCACCCAACCCCCATAGGCCTCCTTACCCTCCCAGTATGCAGTCTTGTGTTTAGTTTGTTTTGTTTTAGTTTTGTCACTTCTTTTTAACCCCCCTCTATATACCACATATGAGTAAAATTATCAGGTATTTATCTGTCGCCTTCTGACTTACTTGGCTTAGTATAACCCTGTGCATTTCCATTCATATTATAAATCATGTTATAAATAGCAAGAATAGTCAGCAGTATTCCATTGTGTATGCACAGCACATCTTCTTAATCTACTCATTGTTGATGGGCATTTAAGTTGTTTCCATTACTTGACTGCTTACACAGAATTTTATTCCTAGGGACTAATAGCATAAATGTGAAACCTTACTCTAGTAAAAATGTTTAAGCCTTTTCCCAGCCTCCCTGGTGGCCAAGGAGTTAACCCTCAGCACTCTGAAGCTATCTGCAGCATGAGTTCAATTCCCAGCCAGGGAGCTCACTCACATATGGTCAGCAGACCTCTCCTATCTTGCCTGTTGCTCACTTCAGCAGTGTATTTCAGTCACTACGTCTGTTCTGCTCCCCACTGTCTCTGGCTCATCCTCTTAGTCTCCTGTACCTCTGGCCTACATCCCAGTCTTATATGAATAAATAAATAAATCTTTAAAAAATAAAGGGCTTCTTATGGTCAAATTTTGCAGGCCATTCTTGGATAGAAAGAGAAATCTCATTTTTATGTTTAAGATTTAAATCACTAGTGCAATTAAGATTTTAAATTTTTTCAAATGTTTAAAATTTTTTAATTTAAAATTATGATTTTGTTTTACTAGTTGATGAATAACTTGTAAACTAGACAACGGTTTTCTTTTCTGCAAATACCTTGAATTAGAGTAACTTCCAAATGTATATTAACGATTTAATACTTATGCTCCCTAGTGAGGATGATTACCAAATAACCACTTGTTCTCCATATTTTCTCTCTGGCCTTATTGTTCCCACTCTAACATATAGCTCATCAATACACCTGAACTTTTTTTTCCACTTAAGATTTTTTATACCTTTGATGAATTTTCAAACTACTTCAGATTTGCTCATATCTCCTTTTAATTTATCTCAACTTAGATCTCTTTTTGAACTTGCAGTTATGGAATATAGTTTTGCCTGTGCTTTGTATATACTTGTGTGTGTATCTGTGCAGGGACACTGCTTGTCTAACTTGCCATTAAGATTTTTGTTACTCATGCCACTGAGGCCTTGTAGATGGAGCTGGAAAGGATTTAATTAAGCAAAGTAAGTTAGAAGGCTTTAAATGGAATATGGCAAAAATCAAGCAAAGGGTTTTGATGATAAAACCAAACTTGAAAGCTGATTACAGAGATGAGGAATGCACAGGGGGAGGAGGAAGCAGACAGGCTCCAATAGGGTGGGGAGGGAGTACCGTGGACTAAGATGGTTTGGTTGGGGGAAGAGTGTACTGTAGTTGCACTATAGTGATAATGCATGAGGGAGGAGCCCTCTACTCCCAAAATACAAACAACGTGTAAACTAACATTACCTCAAGTTAAAAGCAAAGCACAAGATTTTGTTTTGTTTTCACCTCCAAAGGACATGGGTTTTTGTCCTTACTCTATGGATTATCATAAACTTTTTAGTTCATTTTTTTTTTAAGCTCGAAAATTTCAAAATTTCAGGCACACATGAAGATAATGATAATGAATCCTTTTGTATTTGTCACTAAGATCCAGTATTTTTTAGTTCATGCTTATTATTGTTTTATCTGTAATCTTTAGCTCAACCCCTGAGTTATTTTAAAGTAAATCCCATACAACAATGATCTTTTTGTAGCTTAAAATATGTCTATAAAAAAGAACTTCTGTTAAGAATTTAATTACAATAAAGTGATTCTTTACGTTATCAATGATCTGGTTGGTATTAAGTGGATCATGAATGTTCTTATTTTCTTACTGTTTCCTTCAATATTTAATACAGTATACATCTTGTATTTTGTTGAAAATGTTGTTTTTTAATATATAGATTTCTTCTCACCACTTTTTATTTCTTTATTTGTTGATGAATCCAGATTTTGACATCAGAATTTTCCTTCATCTGTATATTTCTGTTTGAATTCCTTTGATTTTAATTAACTGTTTCTTACTGTGTCTATAAACTAGAGGCTTCATTATTTCAGACTTTTTTTGATAGGAGGAGGCTCAAACAATTAATGAATATTTTAGCTGACAATTTTGTCTGTATAATTATTTCATTAGGAGTTTGTGAAATAATATTCCAGTTCTGTCATTTCTTTTGTTAGTAGAACATATAGAGAAATGTCCCTTCATCAATTTGATGACAGTTCTTAAGGGAAAGTAGGCACAATAAATGCTTGATTTTCTTTCTCTTTGTTGTCAAAATAATAACTTGATTAACTAGCATCTTTTCAAGGTGACCAGTTTTTCTTGAGTGTCAATTTTATCTTTACTGATTAAAATTTAAACATTAGCTACCATTTTGCTTCCTCGTTGATATGATGCCTTTATGAAACATTGTATATATACCTGAGTAAAGACGATAACTTTGAAGATTTATGAAGGTCACTTTAGCTCAGTCAGGTTAAGATAGCCTGTTCGCCAGTGCTAACCTTGGCATACATTCCAGAATATGTTAGCAATAGGTTACTATTATTTTATTTTCATAATGTTTCCGTGTAATGGGATGTTTTAAAAATTGCCACTAAAAACTTCAAAAAGTTTAGTAGCATTTAAATAGGACTATATTTTGTTGTATAGTGCAAGACATATATGTGTTCTGCAGCCCTATCTCAGTGGTCTACTGAGAGTATATGTAAGTATGTTTTCTACCTACTAGTCTGAGTTGAGTTGCAAGCCTAAACAAGTGATTAAAGTTCATTAATCACTTGTTGCCATTTTAAGCAATACGCTCCCACATACTGAATTTGATATTTGAAACAAATTGGGTAAAAGACTTTGCAGTTTGGACTCTTCAGGTCCAACCTTTTACTTTCTCCTTCTAGGAATAGAATTTGATGGCATTAAACATAGGTCTTTCTAGTAGGTTATTTTCTAACTTTATTTTATTATTGCATAATACAAGCAGGATGATTTCAGATCATCCAACTTTCCTTCTCTCTGCAGATTATTGCATCACTTACATAGTATAGCTTTTCTTCCCTCTGAAAGGTTGTTCTGGCCCAAGGTCAAGGATTTCATTAACAGTGCATTTCATATTGTTCTTATAAGTTAAACATTAATTTGAACAGGTTTAATCTTGTATCTGCTTGTCTGAACATGTTTTTCTTAAGTATAGAAAACAAATTGATTTATTTTTTAATATCTAAAGATTTTAGTTCTGTGCTAGGTATTGTGCTATTTTCTCTCTCTTTTGATATTATTTCTTAATGTACTTGTGGTAAGAGAGACAGTGCTATTAGTATGGCCCTTACCTTAGTTGAGTTCTAAATGTATAGTGCAAGACATATATGTGTTCTGCAGTCC